CTACTACTACTACTACGACTCCTACGGACTGCCCTTCTTCAACTGCGCATCCTGCTGTCGCTGGTGCTGTTGTTGCTGCTGCCCCTCCTGACTCTACTACGCCTACAATCCTGCTACTCCTACAACTACTACAACTACANNCTACTACCACCACCAGCACCACCACGACTACTACTACTACTACTACTACTCCTACTACTACGACGACGACGACGACTACCACTAGTACTACTACTACTACTACTACTCCTACAACTACTACAACTACAACAACAGCTACAACAACAACAGCAACAACAGCAAGAACAACTACTACCATAGAATCATCACATCATCGTCGTGGCCATCGTCACCATCACCATGACCATCACGGGCATCACCAGCACCATCATCATCATCATCAGCATCATCAGCAGCATCATCATCATCAGCAGCATCGCCATCATAACCGCCATCATCACCACCATCATCGCCACCATCATCACCATCATCAGCATCATCACCACCACCACCATCACCATCATCATCATGATCATGAAGCTAGAAACATAGGTCACAGTGGTATTTTCTCCCGATGCTGCCGTGTGGCACAAGTCAAAATGCTCGTAGTCTGGTTAGGAGGAGTAGTAGGAATAAATACAGCAGAACGCAGCAGAACCAATAGGTCGCGTAATTCTACCGACCATACATAACACTGGCATAGGCAGTGGTAGCTCATAAGATCACGAACTCTCTGCTACAAAGAAGAATAGACTTACTTTACAATCAAGTTAGCATTGCAGATCATCGGCCACCATGCAAACAAGAGGAAACTTGCTCCAGCATGCGGAACTGGCTTGTTGCTCTAACCCTCGGTGCGGCCGCTTTTGCCAAACCCTTGCCAGAAACCCACAACTGCACAACCTGGGCTGCTTCAGCAGCGACTCTCGTAGTGTACCCGAATTCGCGCGAGGAGGCGGTGGCGTACTTAGATAGGCACCCCTGCCAAGTGCTTCAGACTTTCGGACTTCTGCATGACACGGACCGCCCTCCTGTCGTAACGTGTCTTGTGGCCTCGCATTGGAAGGGCATTTCGTGCTTTCAGGGGCAAATGAGATGGGGTCAAAATTATCGTTAATGGAGTTTCGTGTAGAGGGTAGTTGTTGAGCCGGAACCCCAAGATCGATAGGGCACGCGCTAAAACGATAGGGTTGCTTATACTTTGGTCCCCGCAAGTGCCTTAGGCGAATTCTTCGGACAACGATAGGGGACGCGCTAGTTCAAAAGCATAAGCAGCATGAACAAGTAATTTTGACGCAGACTCAAATGCCTTCAGTACATTGTCCTGTTGAAGTATGTTAGATGTAGGTGAGGCAGCATTGTGCCAGGCTTATTGAGCACGAACCTGGGCATTTGATCCTGGGAGTGAGCTCCTTGCCGGGCGCCCAAAGTGCGGACGGTTGCCGCAGATTTCTGCAGAAGACAGCAGCAGCAATAGTTTCGGTTGGCAGTCTGTGCCTGTGGCCGTTGCATTCTTTTCGCTCATTTTCTCCTGGTCCGGTTGCAGATTCATCTCGTAGTGTTTTTTCACTGATGCTTGCTGCTTTGTATTCTGCATCGTTCCGTCTAAGACATCCGTGGCCTGACGGTCACTTTGTAGCTCCGTCTTTCGTAGGCTGGAGCTGGGCGATGCACCCATGAGACCAGGCGCCTCCCGGCCTTTGGGAGTTTCGGGCAGAGCAAAGGAAACCAAGGCACTGGTTGAAAACCGAGACGGACAACAGGTCTCGCATTAAGAAACTGAGCCTGTTCGATTCGCCCTGCCTCAATCCGGCAGCTGACAAGGGTCAGCCGCAGAAGTATAGATTTTCGAAGAGCCGTCCTCGTGCTGGATGTTCCCTACCAGCCATGGTTTGCCCTCCGAGAGCCTCTTGGAAGGAGATGCGGTGACCTTAGATAGGCTGCAGCCCGTGAGGCAGCTCAGCGTGAACAGCGCCCGAGTCTTGTACAAGGAGGTCAGAGCTGTTGAGAAAGAGCGCTGGCTTGGCTTAGGAAGTTTGGGTTTCGATTCAGCTTCGATAATTCGATAGGATGAAAGCGAAGACTTCACACCTCTGGAGGTCGGCTTCATGATTGATGGCTTCCCAAAGCCCGTGGTTCTGGCGGATGCCCTTGTCCCAGATTGCCCCATCGTGGGGGCGTCGGACTCCTTCGCAAAGTTGTGCGGCTACTCCCGTGATGAGATCTTGGGGAAGAACTGCCGGTTCCTGCTGAAGGATGTGCCAGGGTGCTGCATCTCCAGATCTGGGCGCAAAAACCTACGGTCGATGATCCGCATGTGCCGGCTCATTGGTCTTTCTGCCATGGGAAGCACCAGCTGCTGTCAGACCAACCGCAAGCGCGATGGTGAGACATTTCTTAATATGTTTGCCGTGGGCCTTGTCCTCCTTGACGAGCATCCTTTCTTGGTGGGGGTGCAGTCAGAGATGGGCACCGCAGATTCAACGGCCCACGTGAAGCAGGACCAGCATGCTCTCATCGAGCAGATCAGAGTGATCTTGCAGCAGGGGCTGTCAGAGAATGCTTCAGCTGTCCTTGCAAAGGAGCATTTCTTGCCACCTCGACCACGGAATCTTGCCGGATCCCCAGCCTTCTCCCCCACAGCCCTGACGGAGCGGGTGATCCTGCTGAACGACAGGCGCACGGTAATGAGACGAGAGCCTTGCGAGATCCCAAATGGTTGTGTGGTGATCACTGAGCAGCCCCTTCGCCGAACGCGGCAAGGGCTCTTCTTTGCAGTCCGGATGGAGGGTGTGCTCCGTGAAGGCTGGCACACGACCTGGCCAATGCTAGGCATCACTGAAATCCCGCCAACTGATATGGTTCGGGATGGATACCCTCTGCGTGCAGAGTGGTGTGCCAAGAGCGTTTGCATTGGTGGTGAATTCCAGGCCTTTGTAAGGGAGAAGGCTCAGCACTTCGACGGACATCGGGCGACGAGCCCCGATGAGCTTCAGGTCTATGAGGGACCCAGGCCACGCTGGCAGAACCGGCCTACCACGCCCTGGGACCTCGGTGAGGGAGATGTGATGGGCATGCTCTACACGCCTTCGGGGGATATCCACCTTATGATCAATTATCAGTCCGTATTGAGTGTCTCTACTGGAAAGCCCCTGGCAGCTCGAGATTACTATGCCTTGGTGGATTGCCGAGGCCAGGCATACGAGCTTATGCTGCTGCCTTATGAAATGCCGGTTGTTGGCTACATGCAGGAACTTGCTCTGCAGCCCCTCATCAGCCACAAAGTTGTGGACCATGTGGCCAGAACGGCTGCCAGCCGAGCTGTGTCATCATGTACGTTCTCAATCTCCATTGCTGATCCCTCCTTGCCGGACATGCCCCTCGTAGCGGTCTCCCGTGCCTTCGAAGAAATGACGGGCTACACCTGCGAAGAGATTGTTGGGCTAAACTGTCGCTTCCTGAACCACGACTGTGAGATGGCAACCCGGCAGCGCTACGATCTCAGAAAGTCTTGTCAAACAGGAAAGGCCTTCACAGGTCTTCTGCAGAACCGGCGCAAGTCGGGTGAGCTCTTCGTGAACCTTTTGGACCTCCGAGGCCTCAGCGTCGCGAAGGATGCGGAGACTGGCGAGGACATTTGGTACCTCGTGGGCATCCAGTCCGATGTGACGAACCTCGTAGAGCGAGAGGGCCAAAGACACAACGAAATCAGAGAGCGCCATGCAGCCGAGCTTCAAGATGTTGCAAACAACCTGCGGCGGGAGCTGCAGCGAGAGTTTGCTGAGCTAGCGCTGACCTCTCGGACTTCAGGCAGGGAAGAGTCTGAAGCGCACGTAGAGTTTGCAAAGCCGGCTTCGCCCGAGAACACGGTTATTGTCCCTGCCGCTCCGGGTATTGAGCGTGGACCGAAGCCAAACCTGGTTCCTATGATTGCCTTGCTATCAGAGCCAGCCTGGATCAAACAGGATGCGGAGGACGACGACAGTGAGCCCGAACAAGTGGACCGTCATGCAAAGAAAACTAGCCATCGCCTGAAGACGTGCTCCAGCCTCAGCAGCTTTCAAGAAAGAGTAATGTCTGTTCCCACAGTTTTCCGCCGGCAGTGGTCTTTTACTCCAATTGCTGGCGCTTTTGTGCTCGGCATCGGCAGTGCCCTGATCTGCCAGCTCCTGCTGCGTCAGCGGAAGTGAGGTCTTGTGGCTTGCAGGTCCATTGTACAGAACGCTGACTGTAGACTACTGCACGAATGGAATCTTCCTTTCTGCGTCTCTGCAGTGAGCAGGCGGGTGGTCATTTTCGTAGAGGTGACCGGGAAGCCGTTTTTCATTCTGTCGAGCGCCCTTGCACGACCGTTGCCCGGAGTACACCGCGCTCTTCAGAAATTGAGCCTTCATGGTTCATGTTTGGCAGACTGTTAGAACTGGCATGTCGGCGTTTGCATGTATGTGCAGGCGCTGATGATGAAGCTCAAGATGAGCCACCGGAGGATTCAGTCGACTCCTGTTTCAGGAGGCTTCGGAACATCTCACATTGTGAACAAGGGGCATGCTCTGCTGCCTAGCAAAGTAGAGGGGGCCTCAGGCGAAGCTCGTTTTCAGTGGTTCACGGTCGTCTCGAAGTTACAAAAGCGCCAGATAAAAACGCAAGCAGAAGTGTTGGTTGCAGGTGGGGGTTTGCGGAGCCTCGATCTCAGAATCAGGTCTCGAGTCCTGTGAGCTGTGCCTATAACTCTAAAAGCCGCAACCGAGGCTGCGGGTGAAGCCTCTGGAGATCAGCCACCTTCAGACCTTGTGCCGCCAGTGGACACGGAACATGCCGGAGCTCCGTGAGCAGGCCTCGAAAGTCTGAGGACCGAATGGGGCAGGGGCCTTCTGATGTTCGTTTTCGTTTTTGGGTCCTCGGAAGTTAGTTTGCCCTACAGCAAAGCAGAGTTCGCTGAACCCTGCGCCAGAGCTAGCGTTATGAGGTCCTTCAGACACATGACTACACTCTCTAACGACGCAGCATCGTGAATCTTTAGAGCTGTCCAGGCAACTACACGACAGTCGCGTGAGACAAGTGCGGCTGTACGCTAAGTCCTTGTTAAGAGAAGTCCTCCCCTGCTCGAGGTGGAGGCTGAGATGATCCAGCCGGACAATTTCGACCTCGTTAACAGCCCGCAGGGACCTCGTATACCTCGTGGATGTGGACCACCGCCTGCGAAAAATCTGGCATATGCAAGCCCTCAGCTTTGTCATGTCCCCATCTCCCCCTCTGACTGGATGCAAGGCCCTTCTAGAATCCAAGAAAGCCTCAAGAGACCCATTCTGCGAGTGCGAGTCCGCAAGCCTCGAAGGCTCACGGCCATCACCGTGCTGAGGGACCTGGTCCCGAGATCCCCGTCCGACAGGACTCTGGGCCGCCGTTCCTTCCGTTGTTTCTGAAGAAGGATGTTTTAATGGCTGCCGCCAATGCCGCCGACCCCCCAGGCGTAGGGCGGCGACGCGGCATGGATGTTCAAAGCCCTGCAACTTAGGAGCTTAGGGCTGTGGGGGCCCCCTATAACTTTAGAGTTCAGCGCCTTCGCGGTATGCTGCGGGTGAACCTTCAGGAGGAAACACGCCCTAAACAGGTTCAAGGTTCATATACGACATAAGGGGTTCATGTTATATGCCGATATGCCTGGGGCGCTGCTTTTACGGGTCGATCGGTGCTTCAGGAAACCCGCAGCCATGGCTTGTAAACTTCACTCTGCCCGATATTTGGGCCTGCCTCGGCCTTGAATCTGAATTAAATGACAATTCCCCACCATATTGGTCCAAAACAAGGCAGGCCGGGCGCGGCGCGCCGAAAGCGCGGCGGGTGTTGTGGTGGCTCAGGGATTTTCGGCATGCTTTGGGCGCTCGGGGCGCTGCGGGGCCACAGTAAGGGCTTCGGCCTGCACAGCAAGGCAGGCCGGGCCGGGCGCGGCGTCTCGGTGAGCGCTGTGGACGCTTTGGGCGCTTGGCCGCTGTAGGAGCAAGCAGTCGTGGGGGTGAAACCCAACTTCTGGGTGCCGGCCCGGGTCGGCGGATTATAAGTTAATCTCGTATACTAGTCGTATACCATAGTATAGTAGATCAGGGGACGGCAGGAAAGGAGACTCAAGGAAGCGATCTGGAACGGGGAATCTGACGTCTCGGTGCTTCTTCTTGAAACTGCACAATTGAACGCTGTGATTTGAGTCTGTCATGGCCTCCAGCTTGTTTTTTTTTTCCCTTTCGCGTTTACGCAAGTTTCCTGAACCACTGGGCACCAGGCAAAGTAGGCGTTTGCTTAGTGTGCTTATTGTTTCGTGTCTGTCAGACCAGGAAGCAGAAGTTGACACGCTGCCAGCTCGATCCTCAGCACGACTTTCGAAGCCGGCAGCACTTCGGCACTGCCTCCTTTCTACGAAGACCTGGAAACTCGAAGGGCAGGAATGTAAGGCGGAGTGCTGAAGAGCGCCAAAGAATCGGTGTCCTTCATTGTCCTATGAGGCTCTACGAGCAGATGTTTAAGCGCGTCTTCCAGAGCCGGCCCCCCTACAAGCCGGAGCGGGAGCATCTGTCCTTCATGAAGTGTGCGCCGTGTTCGCCTTCGACACAAGTCGCACTCAGGCTACCAAGCTCTGAAATCCCACGACAGCAAAGCTTTCGCCGAGCCTGGGGCTTTGCTTGCGCATTCCAGCGCGGCGTCAATCAAGATAAGGCTGAGTACCGGTTGAACCGAATGGTCGTTTCAAGAGCAAACTGATCCCATGCCATGGCACCCCAGGCTTCACAAGCAGGGTGTGACGGTTGCAGTGGCCGAGCTCGCCTACGAAGGCCTAGGTGCGGGCGGACAGTGGACACGGGGTCTGTAACAACGCCCCCCGATCTGTTGCTGGAAATTCTGGGGGGGAGTTGAATCTCGGGATGCTCTGGCCAGTCGCTTGCCCAGCCAGGCCGCAACAGCCGGGCGATCAAGGCGCACGAGCCACTGCCTCAGGCATTGTCGCATTTTCTCATTCTCATTAGTCTCACACTCAGCCACCCTTTGAGTGTCGCAAACACGCCCTCTCAACGTAGACTACCGAAGCACAGTGGAGTTTGTTGTTGATGAGTTCAGCTCATTGTCGCTGTCGTTGGAAGACTGCGATGGCCACCTGCTCAATGAAGAGACATATTATATAGATTCATAGATTAGGCTGGCCTCCTTCGTTGCCTCGCTGAACGTCAAGGAGTTGGTGGAGCCCATGGAGAAGCTAATGAAGCCCCTCGACGAATGCAAAGGATTTCATGTTTCAATTTCATCTTCAAGGGGGCGGGTACTCCGTTATGCCCAATGTGAGTGGCCTGCATGTACTTGAGGCACTGGGCCCAAGCCTGTTGATCTGCAAGTTCGCCTGACAGATGCATCGTTTGTCACGCAGAAATGACTGGCTTCCTTTCCGGTCGTAAGGCTAGCGCAATCTGGACAACTGCTTCTCCTGGAGGTGGCTGGAGCTGTGCCATTATTGTGCCAAGCACATGACGGTTGAGCATGACGCAACTCAAGCCCCGGCAAAGTGTGTCTTGCAGAAGGAGAAGGACGGTGGCCTTCGATTCCGCTACCCCTCCATGACACGCTCTCAGCATCTCTCAGTGCTCAGCAGCATCGCGGGAAGAACTGCTTAGACTTTACGTTCTCGAGCTTTCAGGCAGGATTTTCTGGCGGCACATTGTGCCTGGCAGCGCCTTTTGGAGGGCAAGGGCTTGCCGACATGGCTGGTGCAGGAGCAGATATGGCGGTGTGTGTAGACTTCGGTGCATGTCGTGCCTCTGGGATGGAGGGTTGTTCGTCTGGTTCAGCCGCTAGCCAGCTAGTTCTTGATGCGGTGCTCAGTGAGACTTACACCAACCACCAACATCTACCAACTGCAAGCCCTTCTTGGCACGCAGCTCCACTCCAGGACTCTCAGCCCAACAGCCAAACAGTGACGTATGCAACATTCACGGCTTCCCGCACGGGCAACCATGGAAGGCGATCCCTGACACTGCCCCGTAGTTCTGATCCAAAGCTTGATCAAGATGGCTCCTTTGCGCTTGCTCGTGACCGCACCCCCCGGGACCGGGAAGACGACTCTTTGCTCAAGCGTGACCTGGCTTGCACAAACTCCTGTTCCTTTCTTTTTTGGGGAGCTGCGGCTGTAGCGGCGCATGAAACAGGTCTACAAACGCCTGGCAGCGCAAAAGGACTTGTGCCGCTTAGCAAATCATGGTTAGAATATCTCCTTGCTTCAGCACAGAGTCGAAGCAGTTTCTAGGTCTTTTGGATGGCTTCCTCATGAACGAGCGAAGAGAGCGCGGGCGGCGAGTTGGTTTCGACTGCGTCTCCCTGGACCTTAGAAGTCGTGCACCACTGGCTGATGCTGACGGGCCCAAGACGGGCTACATGGTCGGCAACCTGCTGTGCAGAAGCATGATCAGCTACTGATGCTAGCTGCTAACCTTAGCAGGTGTCCACACGGAGCCTCTGCATCCATTCTGCTGACCTGGTGGCCCAGGCAAGTACCACGTGCAAGTCGAGGACCGCAGCATGTGTCGGTGTGCTCGTTGCTCAGCCTGATTTCAACCAAACTACAAACTACGACTCGACACTTCCTTGCGTCGACTAGGAATTCGAGAGGTTCACGCTCCCCGTCCTGGACCGTGTGCTTGCGAAGCAGGCTGGCAACAGGCACACGGTCTTCATCTTCGACGAAATCGGGAAGATGGAGCTCCTCAGCAAGGACTTCGTGGCGCGCGTGAAGCGACTTCTGGAAAACCCGGACCCAAAGCTCCATGTGCTGGGGACCGTGGCCATAGCTGGGGGTGGCTTCATCTCCCAGAGCAAGCGGCTTTCGGGAGTAGAGGTGGTGGAGATCGATGTGCATACCCGGGATGAGAAGGTGCGCGAGCCCTGCCCTAACTTGAGCCCCCCCCCCCCCCCCCCCTATAAGTCCTCTCGCAGGGCAAAGCTCCTGGCAGGTTGGGGAGCTCGCAGCCCGCTTCGAGGAGGCCTGTGGCGGAGGCGACCCCGGGCCGGGTCCGTCAGCTCCGTCTGGTCGCTCGGGTCCGTCCTCGCCGGAGCGCGACGGACCAACCAAAGGCCGCTGGCGGCCCAAGGCGAAAGTCGCCGAGCCGGCTTCTGCTCAGAGCGCGACAGCCTCCTTCCTTCCACCAGATCGTGCTTCCAACGCCCATGGCAGCGGAGCTGTCTGTGCTGTGGCCATGGGAAAGGCAGCATACGGGCAACTGGGCCGAGGGGAGCCGCTTGTATCCAGCGGCGATGTGCTTGGAGTTCTTGGACTCGGCTCGGAGGGCTCGGCGGTTTCCTCGGTTTCCTCCGCCTCCTGTGGTTTCGACCATACTGGGATCGTTACCTCGCAGGGTCAACTTCTGCTCTGTGGAAAGAACAACAAAGGGCAGTGCGCCCGCAAGTCCAAGGGAGTACGGGGGGACAAGGATGCCCCAGACTTTTCGGAAGATTTGGCTCTGCCTCAGGTTCCTGAAGGCCTGCCACCACCAAGTAAGGTGAAACAGGTTGCTTGTGGTGGCGAGCATACACTTGTGCTCATGGAGACCGGTGAGGTCTTGTCTTGCGGCAGCAACGCCGCAGGGCAGCTCGGTCTAGGGCAGAGTGGGCCGAAGATGTCCGCCACCCTGAGTCGAGTTAAGCTGCCACCTGCAGATGCAGTGAGCGCGGGCTTCTGCCACAGCGCGGCCATCTGCAGCGATCGGCTGTACATGTGGGGCGATTGTAACCAAGGCCAGTTAGGGCTGGGAAGGCGGCAAAGGCAGATCGCCGAACCACAGTTGGTGGACGTGGGGGGTCCTGTGCGGGCAGTGGCATTGGGGCGATGGCATTCTCTGGTGCTGAGTCTGGGAACAGTTTGGGCCTTCGGTTGGGGCCGCTTTGGTGTTTTGGCCCAAGGCCAGAACATGGAGAACCAGCTGCTCCCCATGAAGATCGAAGGCTTGCCGGCGCCTGTTCACATCCTGGCCTCTGGTGCCGTCCACTGCGGAGCCGTTTGCGGACCCGCGCGGGAGTGTTACATGTGGGGCCGTGGAAGCCTCGGCCGCCTGGGCTTGGAGTTGGGCTCAGAGGCGAACGTTGCCAGGCCAAGGCCAGTGCCAGGTCTGCGAGACGTCACCGCCCTGGCGCTGGGAGGTGACTTCTCAGCCGCCCTCACTGCAGCTGGCGACTGGTGGGTTTGGGGGAAGAATGAAGAGGGCCAGCTTGGACAAGGAGACATGAACCGCGAGAATGCATGGAAGCCCATTAGGGCTCCAGCCCTGGCGGGCTTCCGACAAGCTGCTCTCGGCGACTGCCATGCGTTGGCCTTCCGGTAGTAAGTTAGTGTGTTGTAATGTAGTGTGAGTCTTATTTGCAGTAGCTGTCGCCGGAATGGAGAGAGACGATGTTGTAAGCACAAGTCCTGCCTGAAGGCCCGCAGAGGACAAGTCACAGCTTCGTGGTAGTTACGGGCGATACTTCAAGCGCACACTTGTGCCTGTCGATGCCAGCATTTTCCAGCAACCACTGCTGCTTGCGTTTCGGAAAAAGCTGTGGCAGCGCTTGGGTTCTCGTATTCTGGGCCCAGGAGAACGCTGCTGGGAACGTTTCCGAAGCTGTGACGAGCTGCGCCAAGTTCTTTTGCCTGCAGGTGCCAGTAGTACATCTTGTTCGTCGAAGTGGTGTAGGATATGGCTATCTGGATCTTCAACTCTGAACATGTCAAATTTGAGTTTTAACTCGAAACCAATTGAACGCAGGAGACTACGTAGCAGCGCGCCAGTGTTGAGTCGCACTGTTCAGCGCTGCATCTGAGATCTTTGTAAGCGTTAAATTGCATCAGCTGTATTGCAATCTGACGGATGCGCAGGCAGAGGGCAAAGAGCCGTTGAAGAAAGAGCTTCTGCTCGAGCTCCGCGAAGGGTCTGTGCCTCGAAGGGCTCAGCAGGCTTCCCAACGAAACTGCATGAAACTGCGTTCTGCAATCTGTCTGGAGGCTGACCTTTCTTCTGCAGACCATGTGCAAGGCTCACGATATCTCACGATGTCCAGTAGATGCAACTTCTGTTCGCACAAGGCGCACGCCTTGACCTCCCTTGTCCGTCAACGCCAGGCCGGAAATGCCCTTGCCATCCGTTGCCTGCTCGGAGTGGCCGTGGCCTGAGTATTTTCGTGTAGCTCGGAGCATTTCGGACCGTCGGGCGCTACTCATGGGCTGGTTTGGAATCGCGCACAATGGCCACTCCAAGGGCAGAAAGTAGCGAAGGGACGTGCCGAAGAGCTTAGAATTCCGTTTGGTGCAAACATCTACAAACTTCCACTGCTCAAGACAGCGCTCCTGCAGAAATCCCCTGCGCTTCTTTGAGCACACCAGATCGTCCTTCTCTGACCAACTGATGGTCGCGTTGGCCGGACGTTGTTACGGCTGACCATTGGAAGAACAACCGCTTGTCATCAGCTTTGCCCAGTCTCCTTAGGGTCGTACTCCGGTCAGGGAAGGATGGGAAGGGTGTTGCGCGTCGGGTCTGAATTTTCCTCCCACCCTGTGCACATCATGCTTGCCGCGGGGCACCGCTTGCTGAGGCTGCCGCGGGTGCCCGGCAACAACTGATGGTTCCTTGGCTGTTTAAACTTTATCGGAAAGTGGGTACGGGCACAAGTTGGGATGCAGGATGTGCTTGCGAAGCTGCTCAAGCGCATTCTGCCAAAGATGCCGGTTTTTCAACTCATCTATCGGACATATTTTATACTTTGTTGTTGTGTTGTATTTTCCGGCCGCCACATCTAGGCGATGCACTCGCCCTCCGGCGCGATCCCAAAACTTCCAGAGCAAGTGGCAAGCGCTGCGTTCGGAGTTTGCTTCAGCACTGGAAAAAACAGTGGTGTCAAGATGGTCGACTCTTCCGGTCGTGCTGAGGTGTGAACCAAACTGGCCTCCACTTTGCAGCTGTGCATGGGCACAAGGAGCGGTCCAGTCACCAGTCTCATGCGACAGTTCTGGACGTATACACAATACCACATACCCTATTCTCGAACTTAAGACCTCTAGGAGTCATGGGGCTTCCCCGAAGCGTGCACGTATCGTCTCTATGAGCCCGAAGAGTGAAGGCATGGAGTTTTGCCGCGAAAGCTGACGGCCCGGAAGCTAGAAATCTCCGGTTTGATGCTTTTGAAAACAAACTTGGTGTTCCAGGGAGTCATGCCATGCCTGAAACACAGCCGATCCACGTGCAGTTGGTTGCCTCAGGAAGTGGTTGACATGCTCTTGGAGTTAGCACCGGAGCCAATGCAGCTGTGTGAGGGCCACAGCTGGTCGCTATGCTGCCCCAATAGCGGTTGGTGTTCGGTCTTGAATGTCTGTAAATACAGTGTGTGCTGACCCATACAGTTCCTGTTTGAAATAAACCCTAAACCGTCTTGCCATGTCAAAAGTGGATTTTCGGAGCATGCCGGTAGCGTCAGTTGGGGAAGGCCGCAAGTCCCACGGTCCTCCCAGGCCAGGCAGTCAACGCCGATGGTATGGCACCTCTGCATTGTGCAGCGAGGGACGGCCACGAGGCTCTGGAGCTCCGCGTTGGGTGAGCTCCAGAGAGGTTCTGTGTCTCAAACTTGTGCTGCAGACCACCGCGCGAGCTTTATTGAAGCGATCTTCGAACGGCTTGGCCTTGCCTGCCCCTAAACACGTCCAGCATTCCGTGTCTTGGATTCTGGTCTGACGTACTGCAGGCTGCAGATGCCGCAGAAGAACAGCTCTACACTCCGGCCGCCACCTCGGAAGCACAGCGGTGTTTCCGAGCGCAGTCTAGGAGCAAGGGATGGGGTGAGAGGCCACTGCACCTCGCCGCAAAACACGGGCACGTGGTTCGTTCCTCGGTCCCAGCAGCTGAAAAGCAACTGGGCCGAAGCCGCCTACCGACAGGCTGTCGTGAAGTGCTTCCTGGAGTATGCACCAAATCCCACAGCAAGAATCTTACTCGGGCTTCGTGATCTCATGAAGATACAGTGAATGCTGGCTTGACGGTGAGGCTCTCTGCGTTGAGTCCAACAGTGCGGGCAACACGGCCTTGCATTTCGCAGCAGCAGGAGGTCCGGTGCTTGGGGGATCGTCTTGCTCAACCTGTTGCTCTTGCCTAAGATACATTCACACCTGAGGACACACGGTGTGCGTGCAAGCCATCTTGACCCATGCCGGGCGGGGCGCACGGGCAGTTGTCTTGTCACTATGAGCGCTGTCGCCAAGTCGGATGACTCTCGGTTCTTTTGGTCCTGCTGTGCCGTGGTGAGGCCCCCGGTTGCCCTGCCAGATCGTGCCCTTCTGCTGCTGACGGCTGTAAATAGATTTGACCGGCAGACTGCCCGACACTTGGAAGGCTGCTTCAAGCTTTCAGTTGACCACCTGCGATGCTGCGAAGGCCCTTCATGTGGCGGCTGATAAAGGGGAGAATGCCGTCGTGGGGAGCTCAGATGGGTTGAAGGCAGTGTTGAATGAAATTGTTGGAGTCAGTTAGCACAACAGACCCCGAAATCAAAATAAACGGACCACAGAAGAGCGAACTGCAACCTCTCCCTGCCGCAGAATCAAGAACACGGTCGTAGAGCAAGAAGGCTCAAAAGGAAAGAGGGAACTCATGCTCCGTGCTGAAGGTAATTCTATCGCTGAAGGCGTCATGTCATTTGAGAGTCATCGCGGTGAGCTGCTTTGAGGGCCTTGGCGTTCGAATTCAACAGTTCTTTGTGTGGCGGAGGTGGAACTGCTCCTGCAGCTGGCGCCGGACAAGGGCACACTGCTGGCTATGTGATGGCCCAAGCATCGGAGCACCGGGCGCGGCCGGTAGCGGGGGGGGGGGGGGGGAGGGGGAAACTTCGGTTCACAACTATTCAATGCATCTGATCGGTCATCGTTCGATCCGCATCATACTGGTGCAGGTCCGGCATACCTCCGAGTTTCAAGCAATCAGATTCAGTGTTTGCCCAGGTCTGACAAGCTCGGTCAAACCGCCCTACACCTGGCCTCGGAGAAGGG